TTATCTTTTTTTAATGTTGAATAAATATTTTTGCTTCTTTTTCACCATTCAGTACTATTTAAGGAGTTCTCCTATGTAGCCAGTGTGAACAATAAATTGTAAAGAAGTTCGTAATAAGATGAACTTTGTTCATTGTTTCTGTTGATAGTGTAAACATTTTTAGCGAACCTTTTGTTAGCATAGTTTTCAATAGTCTATTTCTCATGCGCTCCTATGGTTTACTTGTTTATCTGACCTTTAGAGTGTAAAGAGTGACAGTGACAGTTTAGAGTGACAATGCATCAAATAGTTGCATGCCAGCTCAGTTGTTCGTAGCCCGCGTCAAAACTGCCCACTATATTTCGATGTGTTAATATAGTTATATATGCCTTCTTCTAACTTGTTTATAGTTCTGATGATTATTTGTTATATTTGAATATTATAAGCATACAATGAAGTTTATTGGGTTAATATATTTATGTTTGTTCTTACAGCTACAACTTTTTCATTCAATAAAAAGGAAATTTGTTGTCAGAACTGTGGTTAAATTAAAACCTGAACGCGGACTTACGTCAACCCAAACTCAAAAAAAGGAAAGGGTTTTACAGATAGGATAATTGAAGGTGGCTTAAAAATTTTTAGCTATACATGAACATTTATTATCATAACCATTAACCGCTCCTTTTTGTATGCTTGTCATCCAATGAAACTCGAAGAAAATCATCTTGTCATATGAAATTACTGGTTAATTTTCAGTAGAAAACTATCCCCTTAGCATTTGCCTCAACGATCGTTAAATGAATATATTTCAATTACTTATCCGATTCAAGATACTTATAAAACATTATATTTCTGATTTGAAAGTGAATTAAGATGCATCGATACATGGAGGAAACTAATTAAATGTAGCACTAATATGAACAGAAAATTCGAACCTCTTTTTCTGAGTTAGCGTCCGTCCTATAAACCAACCAGAGATCTGATATTCAATCAATGTTGAATTAAATACTGAATGATTTAATCGACATTACTTCGATGTTGTTCCAACGTCATTTTCCTGGTGTAAAATAGCTTATAGCGCCTCTCTGATTTTCTTGAATATTGGGCGACCAAAACCTGCCCAAATCTGCGCTAAGAGAACGTCGCATGCTGAATCAACGTTGAATTAAATAACGCGTGATTTAATCAGCATTAATTCGACGTTGCTCAAACGTCATTTTCTTGGTGTGGAATAGCTTATAGCGCCTCTCTGATTTTCTTGAATATTGGGCGACCAAAACCTGCCCAAATCTGCGCTAGGAGAACGTCGCATGCTGACGGTCGAAAGCTCGCTACGGGCAAGGCTCGTTAGATTTCTCCGGGCATGCCATGCCCTCCTCAGATGGTTTTTTCCTCAAGTTCCCAGCAAGAAAGTTAGCTTGGTGATGGCAGTAGAAGCCTTTATCACTCGGGTAACATTTTTCTTTTTTAACATTCATTTAATGTTGCAGCACCATATAATGCCTTTGTGAGGTTGTTTTAGCGTAAAATTCGATGAAGGTTTCCGAATGTTCGCGGCGCTCAGTGTTGCAGTCGGTCTTTTATTCAGTCTTTAAAGGGTCACATTCTAAGCGGTTCTTTACCCAATATCGGCTTACAGTCTGTCTCTTATACACATCTAGNGAAATTTAGCATCGGCACTAATAAAGTTCACGCGTGCGAACGATCCTGGGATAATTTTCAAATATTTTTTCACCTTTCAAAATGAAAAAATTAGCTCTAATCCACCGAATTTTTCGAGAATTTTCATAATTTTCTTCTCCAAGTAAAAATTAAAGTCAGGAGAGATTGTCGTCAACAATGGAGAAATGCTATAACTAATTTATTGCAATGCTGTCGCATCCAAAATAATTCAATATGAATGCATAATTGTCTGCTGCGAGTCAAAGGCAGAGAAGTGATACAAAGAAAAGTCCTAAGTCAGCTCAAGATTCAATTCACAGAAGTGCCCACCGCGTTATTTAGAGCTCCCCGATCTCATATCATTTGGGTAGTTTATAATCAGAATGTATGTGGCCGTTATATTTCTAGCCTGTCTTCATATCTTACATTTGGGAGGCATTCTGGAATTAGACTTCATATGAAAGCAGTTAATTAATAGGTCGAGTAAGTCTGAGTTACTATATTGAGACTGGTATTTCGGTTTATTATATGATATGAATGGGTGGAAAGTTTCAGTAAATTTTTGAATGGTTTGTTGATTGGGAAAATTTGTAAATGTGCTGATTTGATTATTTGAACAGTTTTTGTGTTTTATTAAGGTGAAATTGAGTCAGTATTGATATAACCTTTCCGTCCGTTCTAGTAAAGAATATATTATTGCATTAATGGAAAATATTTTGGATAAAGATTTAATTGTAATTTTTAAAGTTACAGGAGCCGAAGCTCAATGAAACTTTATATCAATAATTTTAGCCGAAGATCAATGGTGATACAAGAGCGAACGTATAGGCCGCTGATACGCACGCTTCAACCGCTCACTAAATTCATATTTTAGAATGCACAAATTAAAATTCTTGCCAAAAATTAACGAAAAATTTCACTGTAGAAGTTTTCCATAATAGGCGATAGCTCATTTCTGATCGTTAGATCAATAATACTTACTAACATGAAATTTGCAACCCAATGGCTTAATTGTCAAATAATATAAATGCCGATCGTGAGTGCGCATATAATCCAAGTCCTCAAATGAATTATTCAGGCTCAGCTCACTACGGAAATACAGCAAAATTGGCCACCAATTTCCTGATTTCAATGAGTTACGAGGACATTCTGATGTGACACGGACAGCGATGCCATAACTCTGATCTGCCATACGCGGTATTTAATTATCATCTTATCATCAACAACTTTGATTGTAGATTTGAGATTGCAAAATAACTTGAATGTAAATGTTAAATGCAGACTTCCGTGTATCGTTAAATGAAATTTTTAATTTTAAGGTAGTATTGCTTATGATAATTTCGCGAAAAATTATCGGTATTCAAAAATTGAAACAACATGGTTAGAACAACATCTCTACCTTCTATGTTGAGCAGTCTGAATTTGTATTCATTCTTAATATATTTATTTGTAATGGTTGCCGTCAAATCTTGTCTATAAAAAATTTAATGCAAATTTAGTATTCTCATATTTTCCACTTTTATTATTATCCATGATCGGCGACTGGCCAGAGGTGGCTTACTCGACAACACAGACACAAAATTTTGACACTAAACTATCTTTAATCTTATCAACACTCATGATTTTTATTCTGATCTCCATTCGATAGTAATTTCCCGCATAAATTACAACAATTTTCCTTCCTGAAGCATTGTAGTTATTACTCCTAATATCCTTGTAGGACATTTTAATCGTTATTTTCATCGTTTGTAATAAACTTTGCTACGAACTATTATTCATCAAGAGCTATAATGCATCAATTTACCGACGTGTTTCCATGTAGTCGATACTTTCCTGCAGCTAAATAAAATACTTTCAATAAAGTTACCTTGAACATTATTTCGCCTAACGAAATAAATAGTTCCTTGTATATTTATATTGCTCAGTTATAATTCATTAACGATTTGTTCTAGCACTATAAACCTTTATTTTAGTCCTCTTCGAAGCGTAATATCCCTAAGTAATTTCCATAACCGGCCATAATTCCTTCATTTATAATAATGAAATTTTTGTTGTCGTAGGTAACATTGTGACTGTGAGCATCGTTAACGATGTTGTCCTCATTGCAAGGCTGCGCGCAGTAAAGTAATTGTAGATCTACTTAATATGACAGGTTCATGAATTGAAAAGATTTGATTTAAAATTAGATGAATCGAGTTCATCGTTGATTGTCTTCATTACCTGATCAATTGCAATATCCAATTTTCATGGAATGGAATGCCTTATAACGGCTAAAGATGTGAAGCCCAAGGTCGAAAATTTTTTATAACAAAATCTAAACTAAAATAAAAGACTTCGAATAACTTGTTCTAATATTTATATTCGTTTTAATAAATCATTCTTTTTCTGAAGATATCAATACGACAGTGTAGAAAAGTAAGTTTCAGCAAAGCTTTGAGTATCTGAGAAAAATCGTCAGTTATATATATTTATATTTATTGCAATTTGTCTCTCTTCTCGAGTTTTCTTCCCTTATTGCTCTAATGAAATTCGGGGAATACCTATGTAGGCTTCGGCTGCATAGTCGCTACACTCGGCACAAAGTTATTTTGGGTCTGCTTGGTCATCCGATCAAAGTCAGTGTCTGGTCAGAATCTCTTAACTGGCATTATAGTCGCCTGAGAGTATGACAAGGGTTGGCCGTGCCGAGTCATACCGAGCTTGCAAGCAGCCCAGAAGCTGCCCTTCGAACCCGAAACGAAGCGGACATAGAGAGCGGCTGATTTACGCGTGCTTCCCCGACTACCAGGCAGCACCTGTAACAGAGTCGTTCATGAGCCTAAATTTTTGTTAGGGTTATGGTCGTTTAACTTGCACCACCAATAAAAGGTGACTGAAGGTCCTTCTACCCTTCCTGCACGTTAATTTACAATATATTTTTCTATTTTGTTGTAGTGAATTTTTGGTTATGACCCTGACTTTTGACGGAGTAGGGCTTAATGGAATTGACAGCAGCCAACTCAGGAAGGGAGCAGGAGAATTTCTTAATTTTAAGCATTGTGTGTTGACTAAAGATACTTTTTCATTATCGAATGTCAGTTTTCAGTTGAATAAATTGCCTGCCACTAGACTAAGCCCAGTTGTTTATTCGCTAAAGTCAAGTGTCTGTTCAATAAAACGTATGTCTATAATCCTAACTTCACTAAGCAGTTGACTAACGTAAGTTGCCTTTAGACGAACTTTAACCGTCATTGACTGCCGGCTTTTAGAACTCTTAAGCAGGGGACTCTTAATAACTCTCTCTTAAAACTCTCTCTCAAGAACTCTCTTCTTAAACTCTTAAGAACTCTTTACTCATCACAAAATTTTCTCCCCGTCAGGTCGCGTGTGCCTGCTTACTGGCACTGGTCGCCACCGCAGCGGCGGCGCCCTCCCCTGGCGGCGGTGGCGGTGGTTTTGGTGGTGGAAAGGGTGGTGGTGGCGGTAAGGGCGGCGGCTACCGTGGTGGTGGTAGCTACATCATCGTGCAGCCCATCTACGTGCCGCAACCAAGCTACGGGTACGGTGACTACGGATACGGAGGGGGATACGGTCTCGGTGGATACGGAGGTGGATACGGCGGAGGGTACGGCCTCGGCGGATACGGAGGTGGTTACGGTCTCGGCGGATACGGAGNCAGGTTTACCATGAACAATATATCCACGCTAATGTAATAAATAAATTTGTCAAGCCTGCACGTGTAGTGTTTTATTGCATGTGTATGGTGTAGCAATAATTTTAGCGTTAAGATGCAATATTTCACTAATCTTTGTTTTTTTTCAGATTATTAATAATGTACGAATTTCAGCAAGACTGTAAATTATACATTGATTCATGAAAAAAATCTAAATTTTTATCTAGGCAAGAACACCCGAAAATATCAGAAAATTATGATCCCTCTAGAAAAGGGAACTACAGGATTTCCAAACTTTTGACTACAATAATCTACTAGAATTATGCCGGCTATACCAGCGTCAGAGTTTCCTTTTACCACGAGGAAATAATTACACAAAATAAAATACTTATTCTCTATAAAATAATTACTCGGGATGCAATATTTTTTCACGATATAATTATTATAGCTGAGCTTTGAATAGAAGTTCAGGTGTTGGAGCTGTTCTCTCATACACAAGGTGTAGGAGGTACAATTTAACTGGTATTTAATAAATTATCAAGTATGCTTGTATATGTAGTGCATGTTTATGCAGTCCATTATGATCATTGATACCATACACATTAATAACATAATCATTGATACGATACATACGATACACATTAATAACATACTCATTGATACCATACACATTAATAACATAATCAATGATACCATGCACATTAATAACATAAACATTGATATTCCACGCATCCCAGCTAATAGAATATCAAAACACGATGTATTAGGAAGAAAAATTTACGAAGACGGACAGCTTCTAATTCACGTGATGCAAAGAAAGTATGTGCAATGCATAAAATTTGAATTAAATTTTTCAATACGAAAATATTTATTTAAATATGCAACGGTTATTATAACCTGCATTTATAACAAACGTGAGATTTTTCAATTGTTGGACTTGAAAAATTGTAATAGAAGAATTAGAGTAGAGGTAGTAGTAGTAGTAGTAATAATAATTATGTAATAATAATAATAATAATAACAATAATAATAATAATAATAATAACAATAATAATAATAATAATAATAATAATAATAAAATAAAAATATTAATAATAATAATTTCTAGTGATAATAATAATGAAAATATAGTTCGCATTACAATGTTTTAAATTCCATAAACTTCTGATCTACAAAAAGCCCTTTTCACTTCCACCACAAACGTCGAACATTATTCATATAAATTGCACTGATATGATTTCTCCACACGAGGAGGAAATTATTCCTGCAATCCGGTGTGTTCAAGATTTATTATGGTTATGAAACAAAAATATATGCATATGATATAGAAAAAAGTCAACCCTTCCTGCATATTTTAAAGGAAAATTCTCTCTCATGAGACTCATTGCTTTATTATAATAGATGCCAGCAAGATGCAGGAACTGAGCAACAACGAGTATAAACGCATTCCACATGAAAATATTTACATTTTTTAAACTTCGATCATATCACGGTTCCGATTTCTATTATCTTAAGTCTATACATTACCTCAGCACACGTAGCTTATTGAAAATCGAGTTATTCCATCACTCAGCGTATCAGATTGGATTGTGCATTGAAATTTTTTTACATTTTGTGAAATTAGACATCCCTGCTGAAATTACCTAAAAAAAGTTTTCTTGCTTTTCGAAAATTAAGCAAGCCTCGATGTCAGCCTAATACTACTGAGGACGAGTTACTTAATTTCCAGAGCTGAATTTGAAGTAGGAGACAGAACTTCTCCAGTCCGTTACACGAATTTCACAGCACATAATTCTAGAAAAGTTACTGTACTCCAAACGCTAATTTTGTGTAACTTTCAGTACTTTTCAAAATTTACTTGAAAATTTCTGTAATGAAATCAATTTGATGCACGATAGCGCGTCAAACGNGTGAATGAACAACTTAAATCACTTAACTTGAGTATTTTTTTCACATCAGTGTCTGGACTATCACGAAGATTTTTGTGATTCGAAGAAAACATTGTTGTGGACAATTTCATCTCTATTACACCAAATATTTCAATATTTAATTTAATATTTAATTTAATTTTGGAGCAGCGCGCCATTTACATACCGCCTTGATCCTGTAATAAAACTTTATAGCTGATTATGAAATGGAAGTAATTCAAGGCTCTAAATATAACAAGTTGTAGGAGCTATAACCCAGTGAAAAATTACATTTATTTCACTAGTAATTGAGTAAAGGAATACTAATAGAATTTTTTAACGATAAATTTGCACGTGATAGAGACGTAGGTAGAGGAATGTTTATTCTAATATAAATATTATACCAGAAAAATTGGGAGAAAAGATATATAAATAACATAGAAATAAATAACAGGTCAACGACAAGAACTTTGAACGTTGAACTCGTCTAACAGCAACGTAAACTGGACAGTGTACAATGGGCTTAATTCAATTTTAATTGATCGAGTCTCCGACTCCCCGTTGAACGACAAAGCAATAAAGTTTGAATCTAAGTAAGAAACTCCCTACGTGCAAAAAATTATTAATTTATATTTTTGCTTTCGGAGGTCTTAATGGCCGGTGTGATGAAGATTAACAACTGATTGATTTTTGATCAATTGATCAAAGATGAATTAGTTCAGTCTGCAGATATTTATATCGCCGGTAAACATATTTTCAAGCCATGTTAATTATGAATGCTGGCAGCACGAGTTTATTAGCATGTTTGCTTACTCCTTACAATGATTGGGCGACCAAAACCTGCCCAAATCTGCGCTAGGAGAACGTCGCATGCTGACGGTCGAAAGCGCGCTACGGGCAAGGCTCGTTAGATTTCTCCGGGCATGCCATGCCCTCCTCAGATGGTTTTTTCCTCAAGTTCCCAGCAAGAAAGTTAGCATGGTGATGGCAGTAGAAGCCTTTATCACTCGGGTAACATTTTTCTTTTTTAACATTCATTTAATGTTGCAGCACCATATAATGCCTTTGTGAGGTTGTTTTAGCGTAAAATTCGATGAAGGTTTCCGAATGTTCGCGGCGCTCAGTGTTGCAGTCGGTCTTTTATTCAGTCTTTAAAGGGTCACATTCTAAGCGGTTCTTTACCCAATATCGGCTTACAGTTTGTCTTTAATTTTCAAGACTCAATTTTCAATTTGCAACGAAGCACGTTAATTGGAATTCGACATATAAGCAGCCATATTATTAATCTCTCCAACACGAAATCAAATACACAGTGATATTTAATAGATCCTTTATAATCTCAAAGGTTCAAGGTGCATGCACCACTTCTATAGGAAAGCTTCATGCCAACACGGTGACAAAAATTTTTTTCCAAAACCAAGGCTTATTCATTGGTTTAACATAAATGTTTTTTTACTATTATGATCGTTATCTCTCAAATTATTTGCCGAGACTACATTTTACGAGAAGAAGAAATTTTTGACGAAGAGACACGTGTTTATAAATATTACCAGGTGAAAGAGATAGAAAACTAATTTTGGGTATCTGATACTTTGAATTATATAATTACTTCAAAAAATATCGTGATTGCCAAGAGAATTGCACTGTAGTACAACGTCGGTTGGGAAGCGTGTTCCAGTGACACATGTTGCGTGTTACTATATGGATAGTGAGTGTTATTGTACTAACTCATTTTCAATTAAAAGACAGGTTGGAAAAAATTTTGAGCCGAGTGGATATGAAATATACCTTTATTTAGATATGCCAAAATTTAGCATATATTGCACCGTAAATATATCTCCAAATATCTAAGCCGGACGCCGTGAATCTCGCGCTGTTGGAGCTGGTATCCTGGATCACTAGGAAAAGCGCTCTATTTAATAAATTATACTATATTAGTAGGATAATACAATATAGTACTAAACCATATGTCGTGATATTACAAGGACCTGACTGAAAATGTATTCTTAGTAGGAGAAAAATAAGGCTTGGCCAGGCAAAGAGGGAGGAGTTCAATATAAAATGTGATTTTGAACAGGTCATTTTTAATTAGCACTACGCAATTTCATTCTTATTAATGGGATTCGGTCGGGATACCGGAAATTTTTATTATATGGATTCCCAATTCCGGGCAACGCAGAGCTAACATACGGTTATTAAATAAGAGATAAATAATAAAGAAATAATAACTCTATGATTAATTCCTATGACACTTTCAGTTGAAGTGTGCGTCGTGAGAAAAGATTTGTTCAACTCAAATTTCGTTACAATCAATATTTGTTGTCAAATTCAACAAAACGTGAGGAAGGATTTTAAGCCTGCTTCGATTCTCGCACCTTAATTAAATGTAAAGGTTATTCTCTCAAATCTAGAATCTTGTATAATTGCAAATAATTTTTCTATAATAAATTGAAATACCAATAGATGCAGATGTAAAATGGAACGAGCCAAAAATTACGGGCTATACAAAAGTATGTCTGAATTTAAATGTAAATATTCTTACTTATTTTTGCATATTTTGAACAGTCCTGAAAAACTTTTTGAAATATATTTTTTACATTTTTAGAAAAACCATTATACTTCTAACCCCTTGAAAATTAATTTTTCTTGGCAGAAAATTGAATCACATTCAAGTTTTCGAATGCAAACGAAGGTTTCACAAACTGGATATGAATATATGAGTACGCGAGTAAGGAACATTAAAATTTCGCGCTGCCCACTACATGTTGTGCATGCTTAGAAAATAGTGTTGCTAACAAGTGTTGTTCATTTCTAATAATTACCGGTCTGCCGATAATAAATACCACTGATTGGATACTTCCCAGTAAATTGGTTCCGATAGATTAAAATGGTTAAAAAAAACGTATCGCCATAAGGAAAAAGTGACATATTCGAAAATTTCGTAATACTATTTGACAAATAAATGTTTTCAAAGCCTTGAACATACCTGAACGTAACAATAAAATCGATTGCATGATGGTTTTGAACACGATAACATAAAGACTGAAAGATTCATTCCAAAAAAATATGCGTATTACCCAGACTAAACCCGGAAAGTCTTCACAAATTTTCACACAAAGTCTTTTCTTCAACTTTATTCTTTTCAGAAGAAAATTGACTGAAAATTTACAAGCAATGCACATAATATTAAGAAACTAGCTGGGGAACCCTAAGTTACACGCGTTTGTTAATTTCACGTGCAATTTTGTAATATTAATCCCATCATTCCCGTAATGTGATCCCAATAATAATAATATGAATTATTTTCTCTAATTAAATAAATAATCCTTCAAACTAACATTTTACAATATAGATCGGGCTTCCATTCATTCCTTCCGCATTCATTCTTCCCCTATGAGTAATGGAATTACTTCATCATAACCTACGAAATTCTTAACAAGACCAAGTCCCCGCCCGATACACGTGGCCTTACTTTCTAACGACACCCAAATTCTTGGGGAGGCGCCCAAGGGCGGCAATATTGCCCCTCGCAAACTCAACAAAAAATGAATAAATACATAAATAAATATATAATAAACGAATGAACAAATAGATAAATATAAAAAAATAAATGAATAAAAATGATCGTGAGAATTTTCATACACCGAAAATTTTTTTCTCAATAAAAGTCTATCGTTTCGTACTGATTGCGATCTTTAAACTATCTTTAGAGATTTTTAAATTAACTCGAGATACAAAAAACAGGGCAAAAGTTATACATATGCATTGTAGAGAATTCATTTTAATGCATGCAGGATATTAAAGGAAAAGGATGGCCTTTGATGGGATATTATTGTTCTCAACTCCTTATAAAATTTAATATAGGGAAATTAATTCTTGTCAAAATATTCACAGATGAAAACCATTTCCAGCCTGAATAAGGTTTTAATAATGAATTGGAATTTTTATTGACGTTAAAAATCGGCCAAATGCTCGGGAAAGAATAAAATTGAAATTAAATTGGGGTATAATGCCTCACGATTCTGTCTTCGTGACCGGAAGAAATTCGAATAACTTTCTCATTCAGTTACAAATTTTACGGGAAACTTTGAAGCTATTTAATGTTCAATTTTTGTAAATCTTTTAAATTTACAAGTTTTTCCCATACACAGCCTTTGCTGAATGGCAGTTTAAATTTAATTTTCTCTGCCCTTGCATCGTCGTTGAATTGGAAATGATTTTCATCCAGAAATGAAAAATTAACTGACGATTAGTAAAATACACTTCGTAGTTAATCGAATGTTTTAAAGTTTCACATATTGAGTTTAATTTTTATTTGGAACAATTATAATTTAGAATTTTCCGGAGATTGAACCAATAAATTAACCAAATTTCCTTTAGAAGCGTTTGTTTGATAATGAATTTCTCACAACATTTTCATTAAGTTAGAAGGATTTCTTTGAAATAATGATGAACCGCCTTCATTCAATTTTTCAACAATGTATACCTCTTTTCATTATCAAATATTATCAACCATGTACACTTTCCGACACTGATTTAGAATAAATAAGTTGGACAATTCTATACTTCTATTTTAATGTTGCTCTTTTAAACATGCAGTTGTTTTGTAACCTATACTAGTCTATCCAGTTTGTGACAGTGAATCTGACGATTATCGAAAGTCATTATTTAGGGAGACATTAGAGCTTCAAGTGCCCAATATTCGGTCTTATGTTTTTTGTCCGGATTGCCATTGTGCCGTAGAAGGGGCGGCAACTCGAAAAGATTGTAGCCGGGTAAGAAGCGAGGCATATAAAAGCAGGGCAAGACAGCCACCAACCACCAGTTGAGTCCCGTGCTCCGTCACACTCACACATAACCTAGATCCTCATCTGCACTCTCAATATGAACCTCGTGAGTAACAAGATAGAATAAGGCTGACAAGTGAAGTGATCCTCAATGAAAGTGAAACATTTAACTAGAACAGTGAAAGTAACGGAAACTTTATGAAAGCTTCAATATTTTACCAAGACAATCAAAATAGAATATAACCGGAAGCGTAATCAATTAAAATTAAATAATGAAATACCTGTTGGACGATACTAGGCAAAACCAATACTAAGGGTAACGTAGTTTTCAAATTAACTGAGTTTACTCAGGATAACGTAGTTTTAAATGAACTGAGTTTCTTGCAACGTATAGAATTTACTTTAATCAAGTCAAACTTGACCTTATAACTGTTATAAACAAAGTTTCAATTAAAGAATGCATGACAAGCTTATTTCTAACTACGCAATAGAAATCTAATAGGGCAAAATGAAACTTTAGAGCAACATAAAATATCAGAGCAGCATGCCGGAAGCTTTGAAAGTTTGCCTGAAAACGTTCAAGTTTTTGTCCGAGCTTTCTTGAAGTCTAAGCTGCTTGAAGAAGAGCCTGTAGGCAAAAAGTTTTTAGGTACGATGACTGATAAATTTTTTTTGCATAACTGAGTAATTCATGGTTATTATAAAATTATACTGCCAGGTTGATATGAGAGCTCTTTAAAAGATTGAAATTTACAAGTTGGTGACTCATTAACTGAGATTTCGCTCGGAAACAAGAAAGACTGCGAAATGAAAACTAATTCAGAAAAATAGAACATCGTATAGTGTGTGTCCGCATAGATCGATGTTTTACTTCGAGCAGGACATTATTAATAGTTTATAGCCTATTATATACACAGCGATTATTAGGTAACAAAAATTTTTATGTTTCAGTAAAAATATCAGCATATAAATAGCAGCGAGCAGGGGGTTTGAGACCTAACAAGGTGTAAAAATTCTGCCATTTCCATGATCGGCGACTGGCCAGAGGTTGTTTACTCGACATTACTTTCACCACTTTGTCACAATAAATTATCTTTAGTCTGATCAACACTCATTTTTATTCTGATCTCAATTCGATAGTAATTTTTCGCAGAAATTACAACAATTTTCCTTCCTGCGAAGCATTGCAGTTATTACTTTTAATCTTTTAATATCCTTTCAGGACATTTTATCGGCATTTTCAGCGTTTGCAGTAAACTTTGCTATCAACTATTATTGAACAAGAGCTATAATGCGTCAATTTACCGACGTGTTTGAATCGAATCGATGTAATAAATTATCCTTTTTCTGATTATATCAGTATGACAGCGAGGAAAAATAAGTTTCAGAAAAGTTTTGAGTATCTGAGAAAACTGAGAAAAATCGTCAGTTATCTTTGTTGATATTTAATGCAATTTGGCTCTCTTCTCGAGTTGTCTTCCCTTTAATGCTCTAATATTATATGAAATTCGGGGAACACCTATAGGTGTTCCCCGAATTTCATATAATATTAGAGCATGCCTATAGGCATCGCCTATAGGCATGCCTATAGGCAGAGGCCGATGCCTATAGGCATCGGCCGAATAGTCGGTACACTCGGCACTAAGTTATTTTGGGTCTGCTTGGCCACCCGATCGAAGTCAGTGTCTGGTCAGAATCTCTTTACCGACATTACAGTCGCCTGAGAGTATGACAAGGGTTGGCCGAGCCGAGTCATACCGAGCCTGCAAGCAGCCCAAAAGCTGCCCTGCGAACCTGAAGCCGAAGCGGTTATAGAGCGGCTGATTTACGTGCTCCCCGACTACCAGGCTGCACCTGTTACAGAGTCGTTCACGAGCCTTAATTTTTTTAGGGTTATGGTTAAATGGTTAGATATAGTTGAATGGTTAAATATGGTCGTTTCACTTGCCCCACCGATAAAACGTGACTGCATATGTCTTACAACTTATGAACAATGTAATTTTATATTTTGCTGTAGCGAATTTTTGGTTATGACCCCGACTTTTGACTTAGTAGGGCTTAATTGAATTGACAGAAGCCAACTCAGGAAGGGAGCAGGACAATTTTTTAATCTGTACCATTGTGTGTTGACTAAACTAAAGATGCGCTTTCGTTATCGAATTTCAGTTTTCAGTTGAATAACTTGCCTGCCACTAGACTAAGGCCAGTTGTCTATTCGCTAAAGTCAAATGTCTGTTCGATAAAACGTATGTCTATTATCCTAACTTCACTAAGCAGTTGACTAACGTAAGTTGCCTTTAGACGAACTTTAACCGTCATTGACAGCCGGCTTTAAGAACTCTTAAGAAGGGGACTCTTAAGAACTCTCTCTTAAGAACTCTCTCTTAAGAACTCTCTTCTTAAACTCTTAAGAACTCTTTACTCATCACAAAATTTTCTCCCCGTCAGGTCGCGTGTGCCTGCTTACTGGCACTGGTTGCCACAGCAGCGGCGGCGCCCACCCCCGGCGGCGGTGGCGGTGGTTTTGGTGGTGGAAAGGGTGGTGGTGGCGGTAAGGGCGGCGGCTACCGTGGTGGTGGTAGCTACATCATCGTGCAGCCCATCTACGTGCCGCAACCAAGCTACGGGTACGGTGACTACGGATACGGAGGTGGATACGGAGGTGGATACGGTCTCGGCGGATACGGAGGTGGATACGGCGGAGGGTACGGCCTCGGCGGATACGGAGGTGGTTACGGTCTCGGCGGATACGGAGGTGGATACGGCGGAGGCTACGGCCTTGGTGGATACGGAGGTGGATATGGTGGTGGCCTCGGAGGATACGGTGGAGGCATTGGACTCGGCACTGGTTTAGGGGGTGGCTACGGTGGTGGACTTAGCACTGGATACGGCCTCGGTGGTATCGGTGGTCTTTCTGGTGGTTATGGCGGCCTTTCCACAGGGCTTTCCACTGGATACGGAGGCGGATTCAGCAGTGGCATTGGCCTGGGGTCAACTCTGGGCACCGGTGTCGGCCTCGGCGGCGGCTATGGATCGTCCTTCGGTGGCCTCAGCAGCGGAATTGGCCTGGGATCATCCCTGGGTGGATTCAGTGGTGGCTATGGATCATCCCTGGGTGGCCTCAGCAGCGGAATTGGACTGGGATCATCCATTGGTGGCCTCAGCGGAGGCTATGGATCATCCTTGGGTGGCCTCAGCAGCGGGGTCGGTCTGGGATCATCCATTGGAGGGTCAAGCTTAGGCGTCGGTTCCAGCTATGCCTAAAATCAGCTCAAGTCAATAGTCCTATTTTTTATTTTATGTGTTGTTGATTTTTATATGTGTACTTTGTTTTCAATTTTGTTGAGCTTTGCAATGGCCAAGTTTTTGTTATTGTCTTCGGTTAACCAAGCCTTAGGCTCCCATAACACCACAACTTTCATCCCTCATTCTTGATGCCGAGTCATTTTCACTCTGAACGTGTCAGTTTCCCTTCGCTCACTGCTGATATGGACAGCAATGATTACGAGTGTGACTTGTTTCATTAAATTAATGAGTCCACCAGAACGTGTTTTAAACAATCCCGCTTTCCGAAGAGGTGCCAGACTCATCGCACAAATTTATGTGGAAATTTTTATTGAACGAAGATGCTTCCTGCTTGAGAAGGACATGTAATTCGACATGGATTAAACCACACTTCCATTAATATTAATTCTTGTGACTTCAGGAGGTAAATATTTTAAAACACCGGACCGAAATATTTGAATTTCATAAGACAGTATGTCATCATCATGGGATAAGCACATAATCATAAAATTATGATAAAATTTGCCTGCGCAGACTTTATGCGGTTGCAGGTTTTTTTTTCTTTCGACGTGCCCTTCAGACTCTTAGGAAAAACTTCCCAAAGTCCAGAAATACTTAAGAAATATTAAAAAGAATCTTCGTTTACATCAGAGAGGACGATCCTAAATAGTTATCACTCGAAAAATTTCAAGTCTCCGAAGAGACCTTTTCCTGCGCATTTTATTTCGTATCAGTTATTTAGGAAAGAAGCATTCCACGTTGAATAGTCAATATTTCCTTTTTGAACGCTTGAGAAATTCTGACACGTAAGAAAAATGTATGCAAAAGATTTCCACGGTGACAACGCACTTTTTAATTCAGCGACAAAAAAATAATAGCAAAGATTCTTTTCGATCAAATAACATGTTGCAAACACATATTTACTTCCGAGCTAAAACTAATACTAATGAAAAATTGTATTGGTAAGTTCACACAGTGACAACGAATTAACGTTGTACTTCAGGGACTAAAACGAACAAAAATTGAAATTTTAGTTTTTAAAATCGCACGGTGACTAAGCACCTTTCACTCCCAGGTTTAACATGAACAATATATCCACGCTAATGTAATAAATAAATTTGTCAAGCCTGCACGTGTAGTGTTTTATTGCATGTGTATGGTGTAGCAATAATTTTAGCGTTAAGATGCAATATTTCACTAATCTTTGTTTTTTTTCAGATTATTAATAATGTACGAATTTCAGCAAGACTGTAAATTATACATTGATTCATGAAAAAAATCTAAATTTTTATCTAGGCAAGAACACCCGAAAATATCAGAAAATTATGATCCCTCTAGAAAAGGGAACTACAGGATTTCCAAACTTTTGACTACAATAATCTACTAGAATTATGCCGGCTACACCAACTTCAGAGTTTCCTTTTACCACGAGGAAATAATTACACAAAATAAAATACTTATTCTCTATAAAATAATTACTCGGGATACAATCTTTTTCTTGATAAAATAATTATAGTTGAGCTTTGAAAAGAAGTTCAGAGTTGGAGCACACAAGGCGTAGGAGGTGATGCCATACATATAAATAACATAATCATTGATATTCCACGTATCCCAGCTTATAAAATATACTAAAGAAAAATACATACTAAAGAAAAACAAAGGAAACTAAATAATATACTAAGGGAAAAAATATTCGAAGACAGACAGCTTATAATTTACGTGATGCAAAGAAAGTATGCACAATGCATAAAATTTGAATTTGAATTTTCAGTATGAACATATTAATTCATATATGCAAACAAAGTAATTTAGCGAATATAGGCTTGTGGACAAAATTGTGAACATTTACTTTTATTATAACCTGCAATTGTAACAAACGTGAGATTTTTCAAATGTTTGATTTGAAATTGACTTGAAAAATTATAAAAGAAGAATTATTGTAGAAGTAGTATAGTAGTAGTTGCAGCAGTAGAAAGTAGTAGGGATAATGATAATAATAATATTAATACTATATATTTACAAGTAATAGTAATATTAATGCTAATAATAATGAAAATAACGATATTCATGTTGATAATAATAATGATACTATAGTACGCACAATAATGTTTTTAATTCCATAAACTTCTGATCTACAAAAAGCCCTTTCCCCTTTTCCACAAACGCCGAACATTATACATATAAATTGCACTGATATGATTTCTCCACACGAGGAGGAAATTATTCCTGCAATCCGGTGCGTTCAAGATTTATTATGGTTATAAAACAAAAATATATGCAAATGATATAAAAAAAGCCAACACATCCTGCATATTTGAAGGGAAAATTCTCTCTCGTGAGAGTCATTGCTTCATTATAAAAGATGCCAGCAAGATACAGGAACTGAGACTCAACGAGTATAAACGCATTCCACATTAAAATATTTATATTTTTATAAACTTTGATCACATCACGGTTCCGATTTCTAGTATCTTAAGTTTATTCATCAACTCAACTTATTGAAAAACGAGTGATTCCATCACTTATCGTATCAGATTAGTTCAATTGTGCATTGAAATTTATTATTATTTTGTGAAATTAATCGTGCTAACTTGAAACTTATACTAATGGTTATTGTACGGCATCCATGTTGAAATAACCTATTAAAGTTCTCTTGGTTTTCGAAAATTACGCAAGCTTCGATCTGTCAGCCGATCATGATACTCTGCGTATATCTCACTGGAATTTGACTGAGGTGAGCTTCTTCACTTCCTGAGCTGAATTTGAAGTAGGAGACAAAACTTCTCCAGTCCGTTACACGAATTTAACAGCACATAATTCTGAAAAAGTTACTGTACTCTCAACGCTATTTTGGTTTAATTTTCCGCATTTTTCACAATGTACTTGAAATTTACTGTATTGCAATCAATTTGATACAAGAGGCGATAGTCAAGCGATGTCATTGAGGAAAGTTACACCACATCGAGCTCTAAATTTGTGTTATGTAATAGTAATTCAGGAAAGAAATTTAATAGAAGTTACAATACTTTCAGCAATAATTTTGAAGGAAGTTGCGGCTTTTCCGCAAGAAAAAAAAACGATGAACGTCGCTATCGGGAAATGTGTGAAATTATTTCCCGTTAAAAGACTCTCTCTCTGGCTGTCGTCATCGCAGTTTTTATTTTCATTGTAGCTGCTAGTCATTCTCTTGTGATTGTATTACCTCCTGTCACTTTAATTTCAGCGTATGAAGTATGACTCAATAACATTTTTCTCGTGTTTCTCTCCTTCGCTCCATATTATTTCCTTTCAGCAATGTCTGATGATTTGTAATACTGTTGCGCGAATAGTTTCGAGTCATTTCCGTAACATAATACAACAATCAATTAACCTTTCAAACATGGCGCCAATTTTCGCAATCATGCTTTCACTTGTTCGATATCAGAGAAGGCAGAAAGTGTCTTTGAACATGTCTTTACTGGTTATTCCTGAGTGATTCCTGGGCATCCATTGAATCTTTGAATTAACGAAGTATTTTCACCGGCTGATGACCTTATCCACAGAGCACTTAACTTGATTCAACGTCCAAAAATTATTCATATTTTAGATTGCTCACCTTTTGTACATGGAAAAACCATACAGATCAAATTCAAAAAGCTATAACAAACGTAACTCCAAACCGAAAAATACTTAATGTCATGTCACTTTGATTCAAGAAAATGTACGAAATCAAATTCGAAAATGCTACATTGTAGTTTGTTTTGAGATTGGCGTGTAAGGACTTGCATTGCACATCCATATCGTTGACGGTCTCCATCAGAGTAAATCAATCACTTATTGTAAGGGTAGATTAACGGTGTTTTGAATGAGCGTTAGAATATTACGAATGCGTTGACTAATTGAACTGACGGGATGGAAAAACGTATAGCCTGACATCTAAAATATACACATTTCCTTCATGGACCCGCAGCAAAAATGAATGTTGAACGGTAAATTCCCTCATGAGTGACAAGATAGTGATAGACCAGAAGTGAACTAAGTTTATTCGTAAAATTCGATCGTACACATTGAAATTTTAGTCGCTAGAAATGTTTTAGCAGTATTTTTTACGTTATTTAATCCTTTTCACCCCTACAAGTATAATCGACTGTCGTATAGTCGATTATACTTGTATTCATGAAACTGTTTAAACTTCAAAATATGTTGTTGTGCATGCGCGTGCATGGATATGTCGTAGAATTTTGATTGCCGTCTTACCAAATATCTTGAATAATTTTTGTGACACATATTGTTCATTTCATTATTATTATCATTATGATTTGCATCAAGGTATTGCTGAACATTTCCACATAGCTGCATCATGGTAGTTGCGCAGGAAGTATTGTAATTCATATGCGATAATCTCAGCTTATAACAACCGATTTAATTACGTTTTATCTCACTGGAAGTACTTTGAGCGTAGCCGAGACACGAAGCGTCATTCAAGCCGGATATTTCATCCATTAACCGTCTGCTGTTTGATGCTGTTCGATAAACGGTACACCTCACTTAAGTTCGATATTTTTTTATTCAAGTGTTGCGCCGGTCGATGTTGCACTGCAGTTTTAAATACTCTGCGTATCTCAAACATTGTTGTGGACAATTTCATCTCAATTACACCAAATATTTCAATATTTAATTTAATATACGTATAATTTCATTCTGGAGCAGGGCGCCATTTACATTACCGCCTGCATCCTGTAATAAAACTTTATAGTTGATTATGAAATGGAAGTAACTCGATTTTCTAACTATAACAAGTTATAGGAGCTATAACCCAGTGATAAACTACATTTATTTCGCTGATAATTGAGTGAAGGAATTATAACAGAATTTTTAATGAACGAGCCAAAGACTTCGCGTTGAACGAGTGATCAATAAAATTTGAAACTGAGAATAAAACCAAATAAAAAATATTAATATTCATATTATTATTTTCAAAATCTTCAATGATGTGATTAAGATTGAAAACTGATTGATTTTTTGGTCATCTGTTAAAAAATAAATAAGTTTATACTGAAAATATTTATATCGCCGGTAAACATATTTTCAAGCCATGTTAATTATGATCCAGTTTCACGCGCTGCGTAGAACTGACTGTTACAAATTTTGGTGTAATTTTAGTTAGCCAACATATGTTCCTTGGTTGGCCAACTCTAAGACGGTGGAAAATTTTATGTCAGGTAGAAGTTGATATTCTGAATATAGGGCTACCGATCCCTCACTCAGAGAAATAAGTA